GTCAGACCACCTGCATGCTATATAATGCTGTGTAGCATTTATGACCCAGTCCTGTGAATGCTCTGGCAGCAGCAAAATCTGTGCTGATGGGAAGGTGCCTCTCCTCCAGGCATTGACCTGTATTCACAGAACTTGTCAGGAATTTAATTTTTAAATGTCCTTGAAGAGATTGATGCTGGATCCTGTTCACCTACAGTAGAGGGCAAATATACACAGATTTTCCAAGCCTTCCACAACAAACAGGGCTGTCGACCAGGGAACCAAGCTGTTCTTGGCTATGGCACCTGAGCATTAAATACTGTCTAAAAATAAAACAAACCCCGTCCATTCTGCTCCCCCCCCGCCCCCCCGGAAGATAGCAATTTCTCCCATTTGAGAAATATCAAAAAGGTTGCCCTCCTACATCCCAACAAAGGCATCGGTGTTTTTGGTTATGCTGGCTACAGAAATGAGGCTGGCATTTTGTCACTGCTGAATAGGTATTTTGTGCTCTGGAGGAATAAAAGGAAAGGCAGTGTCAAAAGGAATGATCTGCAAGAGTCTTGCAGTTGGGTTTTAGGAGCGACAACCCTTGATGAACCTGCAGATAAGAACTGTTTCCCTCTCCATAGCTTCCTGCTGGTTGATGACTGGGAGTGTAGTAGCCCCTAGCTTTTTCTCCAGTCTGAGCTGGGAAGGCAGATGAATACTCACATACATCCATTTTGACTGCTTTTCTAGAATTAACTCTTTTTTTATCTTGGCATGTGTATTTCATGTTCTGACCTAACCAAGGGGAAGATGCTTACAGGAAGGGTGGTCAGTGCTTGTATGAGAGTTACTGTGTTTGACAAGAATTCTAGTTGCTGTCAAAGTAATAAGGGGCGTTAAATCTGAAAGCTGGTAATAAAATATATCTGCGGGATTGTTGTCATAGATTTGTGTATTTGCGTTAATCTCAAAAAATGGCTTTCTAGTTGTGCAGCTCACGGTGTGGGTTAGCTCCAAATGGCTGCTTCCATTCATTGAGTCAAACTGAGGGACAAAGGCAGATCTGGGCATTTGCAATACTTCAGTGTCAATACAGTAAAGGGCAATTGGAGCACAGGCGGTCGCAGAGGGTGGGCATCCATTTACCTTTCTGCTGTTCTGTGGTACAATTTCTGTGTTTGCAACACTACTGCCTCCGGGTTTCAGTAGGAAACTTGACAGATTCTTCCTCTTCTGTTTGATTATCTTGTATCAATTTATGAATGACTAAAGTGTGACCCAAGCAGAACGAAGCCATGCTTCTAAGAAAAGCTGCTTTGTTAAAATAGAGTAATTCTTTGGTATGTAAGACTCTAGCTTTGAGCTATGACTTTTCAGGACATCCTGCCTAAATCAATTACCCAAAAAAATGTGTTTAATATACATCTGGAACCTTCCCCGGAGTTAACAGGGGTTTTGTTAGGTTTAACCTAGTAATTGGTGAGGGCAAAATCTTTCCATAGTTTGGTGAGAGAAGGGATGTGGAGTAAAATGTTTTGTATTCTGACAGTCAAAACAATGCATTTTATCATATATATGTAGTAAGGTAAATATCAGGATCCATTCTTAGTGGACTTCTCAAACAAAGTGTGGCAACTCTTTTGTAGCTAAGCAGCAGGTTGGTTTGAGGAGCTGCCAATTGTTGTCCTCAGAGCAACCGTCTCTGGGGACATAAGAGTATAGGGAAAAACAGCTTTCAGAACTCTGATTCTTCTTGTCCTCCTTGTATTCTGGTAATTCTCCTTGGCCTCTCTTCCAAGCATTTGTCCTGTTCAGTGCTGTACGACTGGGTTTCCCTAATGAGGCTGCTGCTTCCTGCATCAGTAAGATGTCTTTCAGTTCTAGTAGGTGTTAACCAGTGCAGCTGATTCTTGCCTTGAGGTGTGAGAGTCAGTCTTCCTTTGGGTGGAAGCAACAGGAGGAGAGCAAGAGAGAAAGAAATGCTTTGGTGTCTGATACTTCCAGATGCTAAATAAATAGCCTGATACAGCGTAAGCCAATCTAACGATTAACCGCTGCCAGAAGAGTAAGACCCACTCTGGTTATTCATAGCTCCATCTCCCTTGTGCTGGCTGCTCTTTTTTTTTTCCCTTCCTTTTATGCATTTTGGTAGGATTAGTTTTCTGTTAGTATCACTTGCTGATCCATTGTGGGTGGGCATTGCTACCAGTCCTGGCTCAAGGGAGGCAGTGTGAATGTGCGCTGGAGGTGGAGGAGGTGGCACCTTGTGCTGGCAGGAGCTACCCAGCTGGGGCCAGTTTGCAGCTCTCCCGAGCTGAGGAGCATGCTTTTGCGGTAGCCTTAGGCTGACCAGAGCATGGGTAGCTGGTACAGGAGGTGGTTCTCTCACTTTCCATGCACTAATTCCAGTGTTCATGTGGCTGTGGGATAAACTGGATCAGGGAGCTGATCTCGTTGAAAACTAGATTTTGTTAGTTCCATCAGCTATTTGAATGAGCATCATGTGCATCTGCACAATAAGCTGCTGGCTCAAAGGGAGGAATAGGGTGGTGAAACTGGGCAGGGGAAGCAGAGACATCAATGGCAGCTCAAGCTGAATAACAGCATTGGAGCTTTAAAGCTGGTGTCAGGTTGTATTGCCTCTGTGCTTCCAAATTCTTCCATTCAAAAGGGCATAGTAGTCTATAGAAAGCCTGTTTGGTTTTTTTTTTTTTAAAAGCAGAAAACAATTTTTTTTTATTCATAGACTTCATAATTTTGGAACTTTGTTTTTCAAATTAGGAATATTGTAGTAACCCTTCTCTGTGCAGCTTGCTACTGTCTGACTTCCAGTTTCATGGTTTGTGAGGTTCAGAGTCCAGGTGGACACAGAAAAATGGACTTGGCGTAATATACTTGCCTACCTGATAACTACTTAAGGTCTGTGTCAGTTCAGGCTTCTGGACATAGGAAATAAAACTCTGCACTGGCCAGAGCTTCTGGCATTGGCAAAATACAGAAACTGCCTGGACTTGTAGACTTTCTCTAGGACTCATTGGGTAAGATAATTCATTTATACAGGGTCTTGCATGTTGTGGACCACCACGTTTGCATGTATAGCTCTAGAGTCTATGGGGGCACTGATTCAGACCAGAACAGTTTGTCGGGCCGCTCTTCTGCTCACCCCTTGGCTGTGCTATACTGATGACATGAGTGCTGGCACAGTTGGAGGAAGGGGGCAGGACACAATTGCCCCTTCCACAGCAGCCTTATCTTTATTTTGGCTGCATAGCCCAGTCACCAGGCTCCCTGGCAGCCTGTGCTCCTCCAAACCAGGTGCCAGTCTCTGCCCTAGCTGGCAGTCCTGCCTCTCTGTGCCGAAACCACCACTGCTGCTGCTGTGCCGCAAGTCTGCTCGGGGAGCTGAAGGCAAACTGGTTCTGTGTCTGGGTTGTGCATCAGGCAGTCTGATGGGGGAAAACACGGCTCACTGCTGTGTGTGCTTTGTGGGTGCTTGTTTGTTTGTTTTTAACATGGTACCTAACTAAAGTTGAAATTCTGCTTGAATACTACTAGCTGTTACCCAACAGCGCTGCGAACTCAGCTCGTTGCTGAGGTAGGATGACCTGTCTGTCTTATATACAGTGTGCAAAACTCAGCAGTAACTTGTAACTCAGTTTAACAGTGGTTTTTCTGGGCTCATTTAGAAGCGATGTGAAATGGTGTTTACGTTACTCTGCTTACCAGAAATGGTCATAAAGGTATTAAGGTTGAATATACGGATACAGATCTGTTTCAAACCTATTAAGCATGTGGGGAACTTACCTGGCATCAGCTGAAGCTGTGTGCTCATCCTGCTAGTGCTGAACTCTGTGTTCTAGGTGAAATAATGATCACCTACCAATTGCTCCCTTTGTGTGGTCTGTCAGCCTCCTGATCAAGGAGAAGGGGTGTATGTGGAGCAGCAGGGAGGCAAACATGTAGTCTTGAACTTTACACTTGAACGAAATAAAGCTTGATTTTATTTATTATCATGTAATCCATTACAATTTACCAATCAGAACAGAAAACCTGTTTGAAGTTCTGAGCTTGCAGAAGGAGATTATGTTCTTTTGGAGCTAGTGACAAATAGCAAAAGTGTAAAAGCAAGATCTTTGTAATGCAGATTTATGAAAAAGATGTTGCACTCACTGAAAACGCTGGCTGAAACAGGGGGTGGAGAACACCTTTAACTGAAATGTTTTACTTCTTTTGCAGGTATATTTTAATGGGTTTTGATGATATAATTTTTAATATAGTGTATGATGTTGAAATACATTCTGTAAAGACCCTATAATTATGAAATACCTCTTGCAGAGCATAACTGACCTTCAGGCATTCTTTTCAAAGGTCATGAGTGTGGCAGTGGGTGTCACAAAAGTGCTGAGCTGCACCATATTGTGGAGCTTGGCTCTGTTTAGTATCTCCCTGGATGTTCTTTTGACAAGTCTTTAATGAATAAGATAAATTATGGAAGCACTTAAGGCTTGCACGTTCAGTTAAAAAAAAACAACCAACAAACAAAAAAAAAAACAACGCACCCCACCACCAAAAAATCCCCCAGCTGTAGAGTAAAGCTCTTGTTTGCTCGGGATGTTAGTGCTATTTCCAAGTGTCTGGTCAGTAGTGTTGTACTTGAAACTCTGTGGTCTTTTTCTTGCTAAATAATTTAGACTTTAATGAATTTGTATGTAGCCTTTCCCAGATGAATCAGAATAAAACATTTGGGACAGCTTTGTCTTAAAATATGGCTAAAAAGATTACTGTGAATGATGGTTAAATTTTTGGCTTTATATGAAATGGTGGAACTTTTAGGAATGTCTAAGCTGTTGTTTGAGGGGGTGTGAACTGAAACATTTAAGGGGTTGTTATTAAAATTGCTTGAGAGTGTCCTTAGAATTGCAAAGCTGAAAAACTGAATTTTTTTATATTCATTTAAAAAGCCTTCTTTTCTGCAAATTACAGGACAGTATAAACAAAACACTATAACCATGTTTATTCTTGTTTTGCAGACCGTGAGGACCAATCAATTCTCTGCACGTAAGTGAACACTTTTGGCATTTTTGGAAATCTGTATTGTAAAAAGGATCTTTGATACAGCTGTAGTCAATATTTGGCCTTTAATCTTGACAGGCAGTTTAATCTTTTTGGCCTTTAATCTTGACTAATCGTTAAAGATGTAGCATGGAGTGATATCTAATGTAGGGTATATTCTTTTAATACTGTAACTCACCTTATTGAAAGCTTCATAGGCATGTGCCGTTTAAGAAATGTAGTTGAAAAATGTCCATCAAGAGATCTGAAGCAGAAACAAGAAGCCTTAAAAAGTGTACCTCTGTCTGAAATGCTGTGCTGTAACTGCATAGTGTGTAGTGCCCGAAGCAGACATGAATCCAAAGTAGGTCTAGAAACCCTGCTGTGCAACAGCTTAGCTTTGGTTCCCCTTCAAATGGGGGAACTCTGAAGAAGTTGACGCTAAGGTTTCCTTCTGCTTTCTCTGTGTGCACCTGATTTGCCTCACCCAGGACCAAACCTCAGCTTAAGGTAGAGATTCCTCCACGATCTGGAAACGCAATGGTGGGGTAGTCTCAAGAGTGCGAATGTGCTGTCAGGCTTGTGACACTACCGAGCTGATCTGTCTTTGGGCTGCTGTTAAAAGGGGTGATCCAATTTCCTTTTCTCTCCCACATAGCCCATGTGTTTCTGCAGCCTCTTGTGCTGGTACTGGGGGTAGGCAGCCAACATGATAAATTGGTTCAGGGAGCAAAGCTGACAGAAAACCAGCCTTGCCACAGAATGATGTTTCTCAGCAGTTTAGTTCTCTGGGTCCGCACTCTGCAGGCTCAGAGGAGTACTAGCCCAAAGCAGGAGGTATGAACATGCAGGAGGGAGACTGTCACTGTTGGTAGCAAGCTGGGGGTTAGGATGGTTCATCTGTGATGTGAAACCACACCTTGGCTCTGTTCTGAAGCACTGCAGTTAGCAGTCTTGGGTATAACATAACCTATTCAGTTATCTGAGGGAGAAAGGGAAGATACGGTAGCTTGCATGCCTCACGCTTGGGTATGTGGTCAGTTGACCATACTGTGTGCCAGTGCATACCAGCTGCGTTGAGGCCATAGTTTGTGAGGATGCCTGCTTCCTGAAATAGCTTGATGGTTAGATTAATTGCTGGAAAGAGACCTGGGTTCAGTTTCCTTTTGGCTTGAAGGGATTCAAATCTTCATCTCCTGCTTCCTATAAAAGTGTCTTAACTATCAGACTCTATGAAGGTGGATCCTTTGCAGCCATGCTCTTTGGAACCATGGATACTATGAATACACAATTCATGGGGCCTAGGTACACAGAAGCAAATACAGTTCTGTAGCTAAGATAAAAGCTGGTCCAATTAATACACGCTCGTCTAGGTCTGTGGTTCTGATCTTAGTAAGACTTCTGTTTTCATGTGATGACTACTTCATGTGCAATGTACAAAACAGCCCTCAAAGCAGGGATGGGATCTCAGAGTGGAAAAAAAATTGCTTTGTTCTTGTGTGTTTGTGGATGCTTTGGCAGTATGTGCTTGCCCCAGGTGAATTTTTTTGAAGTAGATTTATGTTTTGTGCCTACGCATAAGCTTTGCACTCCTTTACGTGGTCAGCCAAGACCACAGAGATTGGAATGGCAGTGCTACAGGTTTTATTGATGGTTTGATCAGTTCATTTGCAAATGGGAAAGCCTTTTAAACTTTCTTGCCTACAGGTTACTGTAATAATTTGCTGCTTCTGTACTGAATAGACAATTGAACCCTGGTTTATATCCAGTACAGCACACCTGAGCACAAAAAATCTGGATCTTGTGATAGGTTCCGCATCTTGGCTAGGCAGTTGATAAGCTGCTTGCTGTACATCTGTCTGTAGGGAGAAGCTTGCTTGCAGATGCTGAGGGGTGGGGGATGGATGTGTGTCCTTACAGTCAGACCTCACGGGAGTGTGACCATATCCAGCACTGAGGTCTGGAGCTGCTGGAGGCTGCCTTAAGTGCAGTCCTAATATTAGACCCACAGAGATGGCCATGAGGACATCTGTTCTCTTGTTAATGTTTGGTGACAAATCTACTGCTCCATGTAAAACTTCAGAAGCTGGTGCTAAGAAGCAGTGAACAATACATCTCCGAAGGATTTCAACACTGTCCTAGAATCGTATCACAAAACTGAGTACTGAAACTATCAGTACTGTGATACTGGACAAGTTTTGCTGCCTTTAATCCGGTGTCTTGTTTGTACCAGTGTGAAAGGCTACACTTGACAGAAGTGTGGCAGAGTCTTAATAAAGCTGAGTTTTGAGTAAGATTCCAGGCTCTGCTGGCTCTTGTGTTGCTTTAACTTGCGTTTTTTACTGAAGTGCTTACACAGCAGCATGAAGGAAAAACAAGGTTACAATATCAATGTCACTGAACATGGTTTACAAGGAAATTAGCATTTCCTTAGTAATGTAGACAGATCTGTGGCCTCAGAATTATGAAGGGCCAGGCACTTCATGTTCAGACTGGATGTATAGGACCAAAGAACATCCAGTCTAGGTCTTACCCTTTGAGAATATGAAGACAGATGTTGTGATAGATGCTAGGATCCAAGGGTTTTCTATCATCTTAAAGTTGAACACCAGAGTTCCACTGTTGCTCAGCAGACCTTGCTAACGCTGTCTAACCATCAGCCCCATTTAGATGCTGACTATAAAAAAAGGATAGTAGGGGTTACCAGACTGCTGTTAGGTTAATAAACACTTTTCTTTTCAGATAGGTTTGTCTTCAGCTGCTTTATGCTGACTATAAAAAAGGATAGTAGGGGTTACCAGACTGCTGTTAGGTTAATAAACACTTTTCAGATAGGTTTGTCTTAAGCTGCTTTTCAGCTCTGTGTCCAATTCCAAGAGAGCCACCATCAAACCAATTTGTATTCCTCTGCATGTATCTTCTGAACAAATAGCCTGTAAAGACAGCTGCCTCCTGTGGCCTGTCCTGAACACAGTTTCCCCCAGGGGCTTCATGGGAGAGTTGTATTCTTTTGTCAGGTTTGCACTGTAAACTCAGTACTTTACATCTGGCTGGCTGGGATGTTAAATCCTCTTCATGAATGGGACAAGGCTATGGCAAACTCCCTTGTGTAGCAAAGGGAGGTCTCTTGTTTTGATCAAGAGGGCGCTGGTGTCCAGGACTTGTATTGCATTGCTGATTCTGTGATGAAGAAGTAAACTGTGTTTCCTTCCCCTGCTACTGGTTTGACAGGTCTTAGACTGAGGCAGGAATAAATATGGTGGAAGGAGTGTGTCTTATGTATACCGGAGGTTTTTTCAGAAGCTCTTCTGGTGGTTAATAGAAGGCTTGAGACATCTCATTCCAAACTTCTTGTCTCAGGACCTGGATCACCTGATTGACCCTGGTCTTCAGTAGAGCTGAAAGTCCTCAGAATACTTTTCCTGCCCTTCAGTAGGGGTGGTTCAAGCTAGTTAGTGAGAAAGAAAACATCCCTTGACTTGCACACTTAGGTGAGCAGACAGTTGTGGTGTGCCGATCATTCTCCTGTCTCCAGCTGCCTTGACTGTAATTGTCTTTATGTACATCCTGGCGAGAAGTCTCTCACATTGCTTGGTGAAGGTCCATCTGGTTAGCATCTCCACTGATCTCTCCCTGCCTCTAGCTGATCAAGTTTCCTGGGTTTTTACCTTCTGTGACCTTTGGAGTAGGGAGCCAGACCAGCTCTCAAATAATAATATTTGAATGACACCTTACCACCCTCTGGATCCAGGCCCCTTTTCTTCTTGACAGCCAGGAGCATTGCTCTCAAGGGCATTCTTAGGTGTAAGTTTGGTGCTGTTTCAAGCCTTGGTTTGGGTTCAGTTCTTCCTCTTCAAAGACTGTCTCTGCACTTTTTCCAGATGCTTTCCTTTGTTTAGTTCTAGTTTGTTTAGTGAATACCCGATCTGTTCGCACTTACGTTGGAAAACCTTAAAATTCAGTTTTATTGCCTCACCTGCAAGGTGACCTTAAGCTTTCAATTCTTCTGTACTCAATTGATAACTGGATCCTGATTTATATCTAGTACACAGGTATTTTTCTTTTAATCCTAGGCATGAAGATGTGCAAATTAAGTCCAGGGTTGAGGCTGTTTCCTTGTCTTCACCTATCTAGCTCTCTAGGAAATACTGATCTGTTTCCCCTGAAAGGACTGCAATTACCTTCATGCAGTCACTGTTCTAGAGAGTAGCTAGGTCTGTCCAGACATGTCATGAAACTTCAAGGGTGTTATTTAATGGTTTACTATGTAGAAAATCTACTTTTGTAGCTGAATTAAAGAATTTCTTATGATATTATGTAGGCATTTGGAGATCTGTGCACACTTTGCTTTGGGAGTACCAGTACCTATTGATCCAGGCTGGCTCAGCATTTGGTAGAGAGGAGTCATGGCTTGCGTGACAGGAAAGCGTGCAGGCAGTATACCTGTTGGGAGAAGGTGCATGCAGGTAGAACTTGTTGAGGAATACAGTTTGCTGAGAGTTATCTTCATTTGCTTCCCTCAGAGAGAATTGTGCTGAAGAATAACCTGTATTCCATTGAAATGCTGCAGTTATGGGCATTCTAATGCACCATGTCAAGGGGGTTGGCCTGCTGGATGGCTCTCAGCACATCTCATTATTTTGAAGGTAGTGGGATTACCTGGAGGTTTCCTGTCTCACCTTCATCTCTTGCTGATGTTCGATGAGAGTTTGGGGTCTGATATGCCATGAAGTTGAGTTTGCATAAACAGGTGATCTTAAAGTTAGTAATATTTTTCTCAAAGTCAAACTTAATACCAGGAAGGGAAAAACCCAAACCACTGTTGTGTCTCTGGGTGCTTGTCTCAACAGAACCTCTTGTCCTTCACCTGATATGGAAGCTGGTTCTTCAGGAGGGTATTGCTTGGATTGCCAGCTAATGTGACTGTCATTCAGTTTTCCAATCCAGACTTTTTTGCATAGATGACTTCCTGCTCTTGCTGTAGGAATAAGACTTGTCTCTGGGCA